GCGGGGAACTCTGCAAAAAACGCATCTTCGCACGGGCAGCCCGTGCGTTGGCCATTTATTTTCTTTCCGAAAGGAGAATAACATGGACTATATTTATACATGTTTGGAATCTATGTGTACATATTTGACCCGCTAAGTACCATAGCTAAAAATGCACCGTGGTTTATTATACTTCCGATAAATGAAATTTTAACGAGTTTTGCAGTAACCGCTGCATCAGAGGCGTTGACTGACATGCCACCAAGATCGGAGGAAGAACTTGATCCAGTAACGTTACACAATCAAGCACTGATAAGCATGGACACTGCACCGTCCGATGGTTCTTATTTTTCCTAACTTGCCAGCCACCATTATCAACTTAAATTTCATTTAAAAATCTATCTCTATAGAAAAATGCAATTTTTTCGGTTACAGTTGTTCTCGGCATGATACTTTCGACTAATTACTGAAAAAAATTCCAGGTTTTGCGAAGCTACAATATTTGCTAAGTCAAAATCCATTTCCACCAGAGACGTTTAGCAATTTGCTTCTTCTCTATTGTAAATATGAGGTACATTTGTGCGCTGAAAATATTTACGTAAGGAAAACGCCTATTCCGGGGCGACTTGAGTAGTTTATTGTTGAGTTTTCGAAGTTAAAATCAGGCTCTTATTTTAGTTAAAAGCGTTTAGTTTCATTTTCAGTATTACGACTTAGCGGCTGATGTACTTGCTGAAAACGCTCATCTCACATATAAGTATCTTACACAGGTAAATATTTCGTACTCACCACAGTTTCCTGTAAAAATCGTCACTCTTACATAATAAACATATACACACATACAACACGTGCACGTACCATCACCTTGAGATGTCACCATTTTAGTACCTATATGACTATTTGGATGCGATAATCACGCAGGTGACTTCTCCTATGGATGCATTCAACAAATTTGAGGCAATCGCCAACGAGCAAGTCAACGAGCTACGTAAACTGACCAAACTTATACACGTAAGTTACTCATCTCTGCTCAACCGAAATCAAGTGTTGCCGAGAGAAAACCCAGACTTGCCGGTGCGATCATGTTTTTTTGCACTAAGCTCGCGCATCGTTAATAGCAGGAAGATCTCTGCGCTACAACCTAACAAGTGGACTCATATTGGCCGCGTTTTGGCCTCTTTCGGCAAGCAGGAGAAAAGATGTCGGTTGGGATAAGGTGTTGCATTATATGGCTGCGTGGACCTCCAGTACATGATTGTCGGTTTCTTGCATGAACCCCACTCGTTTTTATGCGTTTTTGCCCATATGCAAATTGCAAAAACGCGTATTGCGATGTGTGTACGTTTGTGTGTACGTGTGTGAGTGCCTTCATCTGTCCGGACATTTCAACTTGGCAACCAAACAAGTTCCAGTGCCATGATTTTGCTAGTAGGTCCCCCGGCTAAGTGCCACTCCAGAACTGCGGTATCAGCGCTCACGCAAGTCTGGGCCCCGCGTATGATGGGATATCTCTTGTGCGTTTTTGATGGGATGAAAGCGGGAAAATTGATAACTCGGGAACGAGAAAAGATAGAAAGCTGAAATTTTGAGGTTATGTTCCCCGTTCAAATATAACTCAAAGCTTTCAAATTCAACCCCCAGGTATGTCTGGTTCCCGCGTACAGCCCCGTGAAATTTTTCGGCGAGAAAATCGCCAACTTCGAAACCGGGAAAGCTGGGA